GTGGGAAGGTAACAGCGTTCCGTGTCTAAGTCACACTGGCCATGTGACCACGGAAGATTGTCTTCGGACAAAACGCTGGCTCTATGGCTTGGAAACAGGGATGAGCACTGCCCCCTAGAGTCGAACACGACTGGACAAAAATTGTCAAGGGGAACCTTTACCCTTACCTTTCAATGGTTGAGACCTGAGGATGTGGACAGGGTGCTTGGATCTGTCCGTTCTACCACCACTCCGCTCGACCCTTGCCCATCCTGGCTAATTGGAAGATCAGCCAGGGGGGTTCGCACCTGGGTCCAGGAGGCCGTGAACACCTCTTAGAGAGAAGGAGAGGTCCCTACCACCTTGAAAGAGTTGGTAACTTGGACACTCCTTAAGAATCCTAACCTGGACACAAGGATAGTGGTTAACTATCGACCAGTGGTGAACCTCAAATTTTGCAGCAGGTTGTGGCTGGGCAACTCCAGGCACTGCTGGATGAGACTGATTTTCTGGATGCATTTCAATCAGGTTTAAGCTTGGGTTTTGGTACGGACACTGCCTTGATCTCCCTGTATGATGACCTTTCCCGGGAGAGAGACAGGGGGAGTGTGACCCTGTTGATACTCCTGGACCTCTCAGCGGCTTTTGACACCATCAACCATGGTGTCCTTTTGGATAGGCTGGCTGGGTTGGGAGTTGGGGGCACCGCTTTATGGTGGTTCCGCTCCTTCCTGGCTGACCGTGTCCAGAGGGTGGTGCTGGGGGACAGTTGCTCTCCCTCAGGGCATTTATGTCATGGGGCTCCTCAGGGCTTGATACTGTCCCCCATGCTGTTCAACATCTACATGAAACCGCTGGGAGAGGTCATCAGGAGGTTTGGGCTGAGGAGTCAGCAATATGCTGACGGTACTCAGCTCTACCTCTCGTTATCCACCAATCCAGGTGAGGCAGTTTCTGTGCTGAACTCGTGTCTGGACCTGATAATGGACTGGATGAGGGTTAATAAATTGAAACTCAATCCAGACAAGATGGAAATGCTGCTAGTGGGTGCTTCACCGGACAGGCTGGAGGGCCATTTCCCTGCCCTGAATGGGGTTACACTCCCCCTAAGGGACAGCATCCGCAGCACTGGTAACATCTTGCATAGATTACTGCAATGCGTTCTATGTGGGGCTGCCTTTGAAGACGGTCTGATGACTGCAACTGATCCAGAATCAAGCTGTGAGGCTGGTGAGTGGTGGGGCCGCTAGAGGACATATCAAGCTGATTCTGTTTAAATTACATTGGCTACCAGTTGCTGCCTGGGCCCAATTCAAAGTGCTTGTTTTGACATATAAAGCCCTAAACGGCTTGGGCCCTGGATACCTGAAGGACCGCCTCCTTCCATATGAACCTACCCGGCAGTTAAGATCTAGCCAGGGGGCCCTTTTGAAAGAGCCGTCCCTTAAGGAGGTAAGAGG